CAAATGGTAGTGCCAAGTGTATATTGAAGATTTGCTCGAGCCTTTCTGGATACATGTAATAAACGAGGTACCTTCAAAGATTCACAGGCACAACTGAAATACACACGGTAAGATTTGGTGACAAAGTCTTTGGAGATACATCACACATGGAGACAGTAAATGACTCCCAATGCCAGGTTATTCTATTAGGTCATTAAATATGACATGTCTGATTTCAAACCAAAAGTGTAGTTTATTAAATCTCAAACAAGAAGCAGTACAATCAATCAAAGTATGCGCCTAAACTAATGACACGGTTTTGCCATCTTAACGGTAGCTTGTTTATGCCAGCAGTGAAGAAGCCTGGAGAGCAAGTGCTTGATGCAATCACAAAAGGCGTTTTCCACGGCTTGTGGAGAATTGAATACTTTTCCTTGCAAGAAGTGGTCCAGAGCCTGGAAGAAGGGGTAGTCAGTTGGTGCAAGGTCTGGTGCATAGGGTGGATGACAGAGAGTTTCCAAGTGCAGCTTCTGTGGTTGGAACAGAGTTGTTTGTGCAACATGTGGTTGAGTGTTGTCTCACAAGAGGATTGGCCCGTCTCTATTGACCAATCTCGGCTGCTTAATCACGAGCATCCTCATCATTTCATCCACCTGGTTGCAGCAGACATCCTCTGTAATTGATTGACCAGGTTTCCTGAAGCTGTAGGATAACACCAGCGCTGGACCACCAAACACACACCAGTAGCTTTTTTTGATGAATATTCGATTTTGGACTGTGTTTCGGCACTTCATCCTTATCCAACCATTGTGCCAAACACTTGCAATTGTCAAAAAGAATCCATTTTTCATCACACATCACAATACAGAGTAGAAGTGCTTCACCTTTATGTCATGACAGCAATGAAAGGCAAGCTTTGAGGCGATTTCTCTTCTGAGGCTCGTTTAATTCAGGCGGAACCCATCTATCCAGCTTCTTTACCTTGCCCACTTGTTTCCAATGGTCCAACATTGCTGGAATAGTGACGTCAAACCTTGCTGCTAACTCACACATAGGTTGAGATGGATTCGCTTCCACTGCAGCTTTCAGCTCATCATTATCCTCCTTGGTCTCGGGTCACCCACGTGGCCCCTTTTCAAAATTAAAATCACCAGAATGGAACTTCTCAAATCATCGACATACTGTGCGTTCATTAGCCACATCCTTCCCAGACACTTCGTTGATATTTCGAGTTGTCTGCACTGCACTGGTTCCACGACGGAACTCATATTCGAAAATAACAGGAATTTTTGACTTCATTTATCCATGGTTTCACAAAAATTGCTCTAAAAAAATTTTTGGAAGATAATTATAAGCCAAAACATGCATTTGAAAGACTGAGCCAAAACATGCATTTGAAAGACTGAGGCTGTACCTTCACAATAAACATAAAACAAGAAGTGTCAAAGTGAAATGTCAAAGATATCAACTGTCAAGTTTAGCACTTAAGAAAATTGGACATTTCATACTTAATAATCTAATAACTTTTCTACAGGCCTGAGACTGCCCATTTTTAGCTTCTGGCAAAATTTAAGGAGGATCATGCTGGAGGTCAGCTGATAAACATGAGTTTGGGATTTTTGGTATAACTTGGAAGGAAATTTAAAAATTGAGTACATTGCTACAACAAAACTGCTTACAGTCTACTTATATATGCAATGAACTTTCCAGAACTTATGTCTATAAAAACAAAAACTAGAAGCAGGATTAAGGGTGACTGTCTCATTCTAACAGTAAATCATATTCATCCATGGAAATGCTAACTTGTCTTTTTAAAACCCCGTTTCATTAAGAGATGCATCCACGTGAAATGTCACTTACAGTTAAGAATCCTCAAGTTGTGCGTTTGCTTTGCGCGTGTACTAACTACGTCAACAACCCAAACAGGAAGGAACCGCATTCTTAGGCCCAGCGTGACTGGCACGTGGATTAGCGCAAGGGCAGTGGGTCTCAGAAGCAGGTGTGTGTGACGGCCACGTGTCCCAGGTGCAAGTACAGGGCAATGCCAGGCTGTCCAGACCCTCTGGGTCACTGTCCAAAGTGACATCCCCTTCCAACATTCCAGAAATTTGCCTTTCCACTATTTGACCTTGGGGTGAAAAATGCTAGATTCCAAAT